ATGGATGGATGAGAAGAGGAGGAAGGAGAAACTTCAGGAATCTGTGGCGTAGGCCTTCCCTTCCAGGTTGTCTGCCTCTCACAGGGAAGGATAGGATTATTTCTCCCCACACTAGTCTCCAAGAACCCGCTTTCTTCTCCGCAACTGCACATTCATTCCCTTACCCCTCTAGTATCTAAATCTCCTTTGAAAGCCCCACCAAACCCCAAATCACACCAAAATTCCATCTTAGTTCTTCCAGTCCTGTTTTCCCAACAAACTGGCTCTGCGGAGATCAAGAGAATAATCGGAAAGGCTGAGAACCAGGGACTTCCTGCCTCCATACACCAAAAGGTACTGAATAGAAGGTCACATTTCTTAGCATCATTCTAAGTTGGAACCCTGAATTTATAGAACTTTTGCCTAGAATGTCTTAATTTAATAGTGCTATATACTTCAGAGTCCAGGCTAACATATTATCCTTTAGGATCAGAGACTCTCAAACCCTTTGATATCATGACTCTCTTACACTTAAATATTATTGAGGACCCTAAAGAAGTTTGTTTATTTGCTTGTTTTTTGATGTGGATTATAACCTTGGGAAATTTTCTGAATTAGATATTTAAGCTGAGAAACTTTTTAAACATTTTATTAATTTATTTAAAATAGCAAGATATATTATGTTAACATTATGTAACATTTTGAAGAAAAATAACACTGTTCTCCAAGACAAAAATATGTAAGTATAAATAAATAAATATTTAGTGAGAGAGTAGCATTGTTTTACATTTTTTCAAATTAAAATAATGTATTGAGCAGAACACTTGATAATTTATAAATAAAGTCATGTAACAGTTGCTGAATTCACATGGCTAATCGGATAAACTAAAGAAAATTTGAGAATATCACATATTCACAGGGCAGGGGTTGACAGTCTCAAAAAGCAATGTGAGCCCCAAATCCAGAGCCAAGGTAAGGAAAGGATGTGTTCTGGAACCAAGGCCAATGAGAATCTACATGAAGGGTTTTTAAACATAAGGTCTATAGAGGTCAGGCAAATAGCACGAACGAGAGAGTCAACAAGCTGGCAGACCTGAAGAGCTCATGACCTTGTCAGAGGCAGCAAGCTCAGTGTTGCCAGATTTTCAGGTTGTTAAAAAAAAAAAAAAAAAAAAAAATCTGCGTTTTTAATGAAAATCTGCAAATCTGAATTTTTATATGAAACTGGATTTTTAAATATGGAAACTGCAAGCCAAACAAAACACACCTATCAGTAAATGTAGCCTATGGAACCCCCCCCCCCCAGCTTTGCAATGCCTGTTCTATATATTACAAACAGAATTATCTAAACTTTAGGAAATTCTTCCCAAAGGAAATTTATCCTACAGTATGGTCCTAATATTATTAGATCATTAAGAAAGAACAAACTTAAAATATAATCAATGAAACAAAAGGTTGTCAAAACAACAAAAGCAAAATGAAACCTGTGGTGCAATGGGGGTAAACAACAGACTGAACCCAGTGGACAAGGATGTCTATTAGTAGAAAACTGCACTTAATTGTGGAGTTGATAGAGGGGCTCATCATGCTCTTTTCTTGAGAAATACTCTTCATAAAATCCGATTCCCAGACTCACAAATCACCCTTCCAACTACTAATTGCGGGTAGTTTCAGAACAAGGGGCTTTGTTTTTTATCCTCGCCTGAGGACATTTCTTCTTTACTTTTAGAGAAAGGAGAAGGGAGAGAGAGAAAAAGAGAAGCATGCAGGTGAGAGAGAAACACTGATTGGTTGCCTCCCAAATGCACTCAGACTAGGGATCGTATGCACCCGACCGGGGATCAAATCCACAACCTAGTCAGGTGCCCTGGCCAGGAATCGAATCTGCGACCTCTTGGTCTACAGAACAATGTTCCAACCAAATAAGCCACGCTGGCCAGGGCAGCACACAGGGCTTTTGAGAACATGCACTCGTATAGCTACCACAAGCAATAAAGATATTTACTAAGCATCTCCTACTTGCAAGGCACTGTAAGAGACACAATGAATAAGAAGTGGTCCAGGTTTTCAAGCAGCCAGACTAAAAGGTGAGGAGACTCAAACCACATAGAAAAAGGCTAAACAGTACTGGCATTAGAAAACAGGAGGAGACTAAACAAAAAGATGTCACCCAGGGAGGAACATTCCTTAATTATAGAAGTAATACATGCTCTAAAATCAAAAGACAGATTATAGGAAATAGAGGCAGGCTTGAAGGAAGATTAGTCTGGCATTATGGGTTCCCGAAACCAATTATGTTGTAATCTAAACATAAGGCAGTTATGGTCCTAGGGTAATGACAGAACGAAAAGTAATGTTGGGATAAAATTATTCACAAGAAAAATCAGCAAGATTTGGCATCTGACTAAATAAGAATACCCTCTGAAACAAATTCACTTATTAATCCATCCACAGAACAAGTGACTCAATTTCTTCAACAACCAAGGAACCAACAAATCAAGACATAATCCAATCACAATGTATAGATCATGTTTGGATGCTATTCAAAACAAACTTTGGGAAAAAAACTTTACAAGACAATCGGACACATGAACCTTGACTGAAAGTTTGATGTACTTACATAAGTATTGTTAATTTCTTAGGTATAATGATGGTATTATGGTTATGTTAGAACTAATAAAATATGTATTAAAATATTTGTAGATAAAATGGGATTTACCTCAAAATAAATGGGAAAAAGAGTTGGACATGAGGATAGAACAGCATTATCTGTGGGCTAACGGTTTGGGGGCTGAGTGACAAGCACATAGTTCATTTTACTGTTCTGTCTATTCAGGCATATATTTTAAATTCTCCGTAACAAAAGTTTTTAAAAATTAAACAGCAAATCCAGCTTTTACCTACTAGATGACCTTTATATAAAATCGATCTCAGTTTTTCTAAAAGTAGAACAAAGGGATTATTGAATGGTTTCATATTAAGGTCAAAACATGAAGATAAACATTTATTCTTATTCATTACCCACATAGAAATTTTTATTTAATTATAAATATATATAAATTTGGTGTGATAAAAGTGGAGCAAACGTGAAATTCACCGTCATACAAGATACTTCTTAACAAACTAAACTTGTTAAAATTTATTTTTAAATTATAAATTGTATTAGTTTCAGGTGTATAACACAGTGGTTAGACATTTCTTTAAGTTACGAAGGGGTCATCCCAATAAGTCTAGTACCCATCTGGCACCAGTTATGAAATATTGCTGAGTATATTTCTTGTGATGTACTTTACATCCCCATGACTGTATTTATAGCTGGCAATTTGTACTTCATTCCTTTCACCTTCTTGCCCCTCTTGCCCATCCACCTCAGCTGGCCATCAGTGGTTCTCTGCATCAATAAATAACAAATTTAACTAGGCTCCAGACTCTAAACTACTAATTTGTAGAGAAAGTTTTCATTTTAGCTAAATATCACTCTCATAATAAAATGGGCAACGCTCAAAATTAAATAATAGAATCATTTCAAAGCTGAATCTGTAAAAACCTTATCTTACAAGTTTCTCTTACACAAGAGAATAACTCTACTTTTCTTTCTACTTTTCAGATTTATTTATTGCTTTATTCTTTATTTTACAAATGTTTATAGATCTGGTGTGCTATAAATAATTTAACCACAACTTAATAGGACTAAGGAGTAATAAAGATTATCCTGTCTCTTTGCTTGATACTTGGCCAAGAGTTGCTGTTAAACTGCTGGATGGACCGTCAAGGTTCCCACGGCATTCTGACGTGGCCAACTTTTTTGGGTTGATTTGGTTTCTCAGATCATGTTTCCTCATGGACTATGCTACCTTCCTTTCTAAAACAGAATTCTATGTTCTTACACAGTATCTGGTTTATATTAGCAACAACTCCTACACCAGTGATTGAGACAAAGAGCTCTTTGAAAAAAACAAAAAACAACCTATTGCCAAACAAAGATAAATTTTAAAACCTCAATAGTGAGACTTGGTAATTTCACCTAAACTTTATTTGTAGTTAAATATCTTATCTAGTATATCATATACTATCTGATAATTTTATGCTGAATCCAGAATTTTGGAGAAATTCAAAGCATCTAATTCCTATTAGCTATAGCTTGCTTAACCTAGTAATGAACCATGTACACACAACCTTCATCCTCATTATATCAAATGTTAGTATCCAAGCCGTATTTCTGGCACAGTGACAGAAACTATCTTTTCTTGTATTAAGAAAGTTTATTCCTTCTTATTGCTATACCAATAAAAGCATAAATGAGATTTTTATATATTCAGTGACAATGCTAAATTACCATAAATTCTACTATAATAGTCTAATTTTCATTCAGACAGGTTTACTAATCAGTTATTACACATTCATATTAACAACTTACCGGCCTTTACTGGTAAAACTTCAAAAATTTGAATGTATTGCTATTCAATTATCTGCTACCATTAACTGTGCAATGATATGAATCCAACCATATACATTTTATTATATTTTTAGCTATTAAGAGTCTCTCTGATTCATACTTACAACTATATTCAGAAGTAGTAAATGATCTGTATAATCAGCGGTCATAGTATTTTTTAAGAGAGTAATCATCTGAAATTTCTGAGTACATAGACCAATGCTTTCCCCACTTTACTCTGACATGATCAGGATGGACAGGCTCCCCTAGGAAGAGCCTCTTTATGAAATTAAAACATACCACATACCATTCTCCAGAGGAGTAAATTCTATTTGGGCAGAATTATTAGTCTCGCTCAAGTCATTTCACAGGAAAGAGAACAAACAGGTCTATTGTGCATACCATAATTACATTTTGCTTGACTTCCTTCAATTAAAATCTTTACTTAAATTAGCATCCTATAGCAGTAGAGAAATTTTAAATGTCATTATCTAGTATGACCCGATGATGTCTTCCACTAATAAGAAATTAGTCTGAACAAGGTTTCTTCTTTCTTTCTTTCTTTCTTTTTCTTTCTTTCTTTCTTTACTGCTGGTAGATAAGTAGGTCGTGAATTTATTTTGCAAACAAGACCTGTTCCATCTACCTTTTCATTTAGAAGGTTAAAAGCAGATTTCACATATTTCAAAGCACTTATTTACATAAGGGCCTCCCCTCAGTAGCATTACTCAGTACATGTGCAAGAAAAATGTATATGCATGGGTCAACCTCACTTAATTCTGCATATACTTGAAATATATATTCGTTACACACACACACTCTGAACCTCCAAAGAAGAACTGGGCAAACTTTGATTATATTAGGCATTCACTAAATACATAATAATCTTGACTAAACTGATGCCTAGTAAACAATCAGAAGGATTTAAGAATACTTTTAATGACTTTACTAACTAGTACTAGTTGAGATCAACATCTCAGACATTCTTCTCTCTAGCCTGGCAGTTATAACCTTCACATTATCAATTAATCACTAGGAAGGAGAGGAAAGAACCCTATTACTATAAAACATGAAAATTTCTTGCATAACTATGCCATCTACGGCTTATTCTGTCCATGTCGGAGAATCTCTCTAACGCGTACTAAAGAACAGACCACTGCACAAAATACTACAGAAATCAGTGTTCAGGTTCATCAAGACCTTGAAGTCTAACTCGCCAAATGTTTCCTACTTTAGAAAATTCGGGTCTTAAAATCTTGTACTTGGTGGGGCAGGATAATAAGGGAAGAATTTTAAGAGAAACTCTAAATTAATGTATTAATTTCTACAGTGTTAACATACACACACGATAGAAAACAGAGCTAAAAAAAGAAAATGGATTGACTGACCAATGGATTGAAAAGTGTGATTTATACTGAGGATTTCTTTCCCTTTCAGGTTTCAGTTCTTGTGTTAAAAAACACAAAAAGCGTGATCACCACTGAACAGGCTGACTGACCCACAGCCTCTTAAAAGAACTGGAAGTACACTCAAACAATTTTCACTGCCACACTCGCTTGGAATACATTGCAAATAATAGATTAAGGGGAAAAAGCTTTTGTTTTGGTTTGGATTTTTAAGAAAGAAAAGGAGGAACAAAGTGTGTGATAAAATACTAACTTTTACCTTTCTTCCCGAAGATAAATTTGTGATATTATTTTTGGCTACTTTCAGCACAATTTGTTTTTTGCCTTTAAAAACCAGGCATTACATAATACTTTGAGTAGGCAATCTTTTGAGTCCCATATCTAATCTGATCTTTTACTAAAGGCATTTGTATACACATAATACTGTGCAAACAATTTACAAATATATATATACACACATATATAGTGAAAATGTAAAGAAATACAAGGAAAGGGTTTAAAAGAACAAATTCAGCTAAGTGGCTCACTGTAGTAGAGAGAAAAGGGGTTAAAACTGAGAGGCAGTTCACTGAAGGCTTTAATTGCATTGGTAAAGATTTGTGAAACTGAGTGATAGATGCATAAAAGTGTTTTACTCTTTAAAACTTTTTGTGTACTAGATTTTTAAATTTTTGCTCATTTTTAAAAAAATTTATAAGAAGTACTGCTCAACAGAAAAGCATACCAGAACCTGGGGTTCCCAATCATCTGGCCACCTGTTTTGTTTGGACGGCATAGTGTCATTTGTTTTGTAGTTGTAATGTGAATGCCTTCAGGCAGGGGTATGCACTATTCAATTAGCCAGAGTCACCACCATTTTCCATACAGTATATGAGTTCTTTAAAATTAAAAGAAATTGGAATCCTCATTCACTGACAGTGGGAATATAAAAATGGTGCAGCTGCTTTGGAAAACAAGCTGCCAGTTACTCAAAATGTTAAGCACAGAGTTACCATATAACCCAGCAATTCCACTTCTAGATATGTACCTAAGGGGAAAGGAAACATGTCCACACAAAGACTTTTACACAAATGTTCATAGCAGTGGAAACAACCCAAGTACCCATCAACTGATGAATGAAGAAACAAAATAGAATACAATGAAACATCACTCCACCATAAAAAAAGGAATGTACTGATAAATACTACAACATGTAAACCTGAGTATGGTGCTAAGTAAAAGCAGCCAATTACAGAAGACCACAAATTGTGTAATTTCATTTATATGAAACATTCAGACTAGGCAAATCTCAAATCTATGGAGACAGAAAGTAGATTAATAGGGTAATTAAAAATGTCATTAAAATTAGATAATGGTGTTGGTTGCACAAGTTGGTACATAAATGTCAACCAGTGGTTGTTGGTGCCGATTCAAAAACCAACAGGAATCCCCAATTTGGGGTGTAGTGAAAGAGAAGCTTTTATTCAATGCAAACAGCTCAATGGTGTTACCTTTCAATTATGAAACAGCACAAGTGTGAAAAGCACTGCTGTGAGGTGACCCTCCAGATGAGGTGGTCCTTGATCGCTCTCTGGCGAGGCAGTTGTGCTCTGCTCTGGTCAGCCTGGTCTGCTATGCCGTGATGGCTCTACTCCACTCTGCTCAGCTGAGATATCTGCAGTGTTTCAGTTCCAGCCCAGAAAAATGCAATCTTAGGTGGAAAGGTAAAATGTGCACCCCTGGGCCAGAAGGGAGCTGGCAGAGAAAAGTCCCAGGATCGTGTAGCTCAGTTGGTTATAGTGCTGTCCTGATATGCCAAGGTTGCTGGTCCAATCCCTCTTCGGGACACATACATGAATCAACCAGTGAATGCACCAATAAGTGCAACAACAAATTCATTCTCATTCATTCTCCTCTCCACCAACCCTTTCTCCTTTCTTCTCTAAAATCAATAAAAAAATTTTTAAAGAGAAAAGTCCCTGGCTCTGGCCCCTGATTGGTCTGTTACCATGTAAATAAGGGCACCAAATCCTCAGTTTCATTTGTCCAAAAAGCACTGTCCCAATTGGTCAAAATGGAGCAGCTCTGATTGGACAGGAAGTCTCAGCCCCATTGGTTGAAATACAATTCCAGGAACTCCTTCACAAGGGCTGGCTCCTGCGGCAGAGACAGAGTGCAGGCAGGGAGGCAGTTCAGCCTGGAAGGCAGGCAGTATACTCCCCCAAGCGCAGCTTGTGTGAGAAGCCCTGTTCAGCAATGGCTGCTAGGCTCTGGTTTTTGTTTCTGTTTTTTAATTTGAGCCCTATTAGCCACCAAGAGCCCCCCTCAACAGGTATTTTCTTTGTCAGGGTCAACATTAAAAAATCATTGAACTGTTCATTTCAAAGGAACAATTTATATGGCATGTATATTGTATCTCAATAAAGTGGTTTAAAAATAAACAAAGATATCCACTCAGCTCTTAAAGTTTGTGAATTAGATTAATCCCTAAGTGTAGTTCTCAGACTGTTGCCTAAGAACTTCTGGGGGTCCCCCAGGGCTTTTCAGGAGTACTGAGGTCAAAACTATTTTCATAATACTGAGACATGTGCCATTTTCATTGTGTTGACATTTGCATTAATGGTGCAAAAACAATGGTAGGTAAAACTGCTGACATCTTTGGCAAAGTGACACCAAAGTATACCAGTTTCTGGTAGTCGCTGCATTCTTTATCACCACACATCACACCACAAAAGTAAAATCCTTTTCACTTCAAAATGTCCTTAATAAGGAGTAAGATTTATTAGTCTTAATTTCAACATACATATCTTTTTAATATTATGTGTAACGAAATGGGAAGTAGCTATGAAGCACTTCTGCTATAGACCAAAATATAAAAAGTGTGATTATATGAGTTGTGGGCCAAACTAGTCACTTTTTTAATAGAATAGCATTTTTACTAGAAATGACTATTGGTTCCTATGGGAAAATGCATTCACATTTTCAAATTTGTCTATACATAGCTTTTATAACAAAACTGTTTCATAAAGTGGAAGCTGCCATTCTCCATGGGAAATCACACCTTACTCCCTTTTAAAACAACATTTTGAGTATCTTAATCAACCTTTTGGCCTGAGTTAGCAGGAAAGGCCTGTTTGGCGGGTAGAGGAGGGAATGAGGCAAAAGGCAGAAGATAAAACTTAGCATAAGAACCTATTCTGAAACCTCTGCCTCTAGGCACTCACAAAGATAGGTCTGGTCATGTGACCTCCTCTAGTCAATGAATCCTAAGCAAAGAGAAGTGACACATACCACCTCCGCAGGGGGGGAGGTATAAGTGGGGGCGAAGGGGGATGTTGAATGGTGATAGACAGAGACTTGACCTGGGGTAGTGAATACACAATATAATGTACAGATGATGTGTTGTAGAACTGTGCACATGAAACCTGTATAATTTTGTTAACCAGTGTCACCCCAATAAATTCAATAAAAAGGAAAAAAAAATAAAGTTTTAAAAAAAAAGAAACTATTTTATCCTATCATGGTGACAGGCTAACTAGTATTAACATTTTATTACAAATTTTAAAATATAATTCAGACAAAATAAGGCTTAAAGATTTATTTTGTTATTTAAAAGGGGACTGTTATACATTATGGTACTATTCTAATTTGTTACAAAAGGGATTTAAAATATTCCTAAATGCTAAGAATCACACATTGAGAATTACACTTGTAAAAATCTACTAAGAATTAATGACAATTATTCATTTAAAAGATGATTGTACATATGTTGCTGATGAAGATTTGGAAAACCTCAAGGACCAATATAGAAAACTAATTTGATTCAGGACAAAGAGGTAATTCCAAAAAGACATTTAATTGTACTAGTAGTGGTATAAGCAGTATAGCTGTGCATGAGAAAATAAATAGAGCAAATATACCAGTGTGTATCCAGTACTATACATATAAGAAAAAGACCAATCTGGTGTATTTTAGTCACTAGAGTGTTCAAATCGCATACTCCAGAATAGAAAGAGTTCATCTTTAATCTTTTCCATATTTGATAAAACGTCCCTTTGTTCTTACCCATGTTCACTATCAATGTTTTGACCTGGTTTCCCAAGTTAGTTGATACTAAGAAGAGAAGTCTAGATTGCAAGGATTAATATTTCATTCACTGTAAACATAAAATAAAGGGTCCTATCTCTCTAACAGATGGCATGTTAGTCCCTAAGAGCCCCATTAACTTTGAGAAGACTAGAGAAAATAAAACTGTTGACTTTGCAAAACTAAAATATTTATAGAGCTAGGTAATTTCTTGATAGGCATGTATTAGTACTGAGTTGAATATATTTTGGTTTAAAACAATTTTTACTTCCTTTATGAAGTTACAATCTAACTCACTAAACATACCATGGACTATAACTTAAATACAGGGCATAATAATAATAGTAATACTCAAATAATAGCTGACATTTGTATATGGCTCATTAGAAGTAAATAGCCACTAACATTTTACATATTTTAACTTATCTAATCCTTATAACAACCTACATGCAGTACTATTTTAATCTCCACTTTACAGGTGAATAAACTAAGGCGAAGGCTCCATGTCACACATGTGAAGTGGTATAGCTGGGATTAAATCCTGGATATCTGGTTCCAAAGTCAGCATTTTTAATCCCGTTAGCTTTTTACTATCAATTTCCTGAATTTTAAGCATCTTCTTTTTCAAAACAGTTTTGAAATTCCATATATATCAAAGCAAAGATGCTTCCCAAATTCTCACAATGTAGCTGTTAAACTGAAAATGTTTCACCTATTCATTTAACTATGTTTTCTATCAGCTGTAATAAGCATACACATCAAATTATGAAACTTTCAGTAGTTAATGCAAAATTAATCAGAAAAAAATATAGAAACCACTGTTTTAAAACATGTTCATTTTCAACATATACTAACTTCAGTTGTTAAGTTTTATATATATATATATTTTTTTAACATACATATATTACAGTTTCAGATGAACAGAATTGGATACTATTCTAAAAGCAAGGATATTGTGGCTTCTAAAGAAAAAATTTAATGTGAGCCTTTCTAACTAGTGACTCAAACTGACTCAAATCACTTACATGTTCATTTCCAATCACTGGCTCTCTAGCTTTATATAAAACCATAACTTGTTTTATGGATTAGTCAGTCATTCTATAATATAAACAATGTTTAATCTCATATCATATAAAATAGCTTTTAATTTGTGCTTTCCTATTTTTCCTCAAATTTAATGAAGTGAACCACTGAATTGTTATATTCCAAAATTTCTATTTTTCTCTTTTCAGCTTGAAATTACCTTAAAAGAAAAAGCATTTCTCATGAGGTAGTCTTTTGTCATACTAGTAATATTTTTGTTTTTTTTTTAATCTGGGTGCTTGTTATAGCATACGTTTAACCAACAAAAATTCATCAGGTTGTATATACTTTTCTACATGTATATTACATACTTCAATAAACAGCTGTTTTTTACAAAAAGCTGGGTTTCATAACACTACTTCAAAAAAATCATTACATACCAAACTTACTGGAAGTTGTCATAGTTAAATTTTTTGTCAAATGGTGCTGCTCCACAACACTGAGTAACATTCAATCTGTATTTTCAGCATATGGAGGAAAAAGAGCAATGCAAGATAATCTATGGAACCAAAAAGTGCTATTTAATTCTTTCACAAATCCCTGAGATTTAACGATCTCAAAAGGAAAGAAAGCTTTTCTTTTTTAGCAGCTATGTGCTTATTTTATTCTCACAGCAGCCTTATGACATACTTGTGGCAGACTGTTATCCAAAGACAGCACAACAATACATATCCCAACCCAACAGTTTTTTCTATGAGACAATGAAGTTCCTATTGTACATTGAGAGATGAGTCTATTTCCTTTTCCTAAAACCATGTAGTTTTATATCAGCCTTGAGTAGGAAAATGTGACAGAAGTGACACTGCATGACTTTCAAGGTTAGGACATAAAAAACTACACTGCTTCCACCTGGTTTTCTCGCTTTCTCCGAGATGCATGCTCTTGGAACCTGCCACCAGACTGTTCTGCCCACTGTCCCAGTGACCTCTCCAGCCAACACGTAGCATCAACTACCAGACCAAGCCTTGTCCAGATGATTCCAGCCCCAGCCTTCAAGCCTTCCAGCGAGGCCCCAGACAGCATGGAGCAGAGACAAGTCCCACTGTGCCCTGTCTGAACTCCTGAAGCACAGAAACCATGAGATAATAAATGACTGTGGTTGTTTTAGCCACGAGACTTCTAATTGTTTATGCAGCAATAAAAAACGAACACTTGATAAGTAAGCAACACAGGTAGGTAGCCATGCTAGTAACTAGCAAAGCCAGAATTTGAATCTACGTCAGTCTACGTATAAAGTCCAAACTCTTTCTGTCACATTGCCAAGTTTGTTTGGTGGTACCCACGTTTCCAAATAAAGCAACAGTCCACAGATTAAAAAGTTGAAAAGCAATAAGCAGCCCCCAAAACTAATTATTTCAATTAATAGTCAGGACAATAGGTCATTCAATTAGCAACCTCAAAATTCCAGCATCATTTCTGACACATCTATACCCTTCACACTCTAATAACAGCATATCTGATAGTACCCATATGCTAGAGAGGCTGAAGAACTACCTCTCCATCAATAACAATAAAGCTGACCATTTATAAAACACTTTATAAAGCACTTTAACCATCACTAATTTGACCTCCAGAAAACACCTTCACAAGACAGGCAAAACAGGCATCACAGAGGTGAGGCTCAAAAAAGTTGAAAATAGCTGAAAGAACATAGTTAAGGATTCAATTTCAGACTTTCTGACTTCAAGTCCAGTGCTTTTGTTGACTCAATTCAACTCCAAAAAACGTTTATGGTGTATGTATTTCCATACACAACACTGTTTCTACAAGTGTTTATGAAGTATCTACTTTGTGCAAAGCATCATGGCAGGCACGGTCTCTCTAACTTGTGCTCTCCACTTCTGGGGTTAGTCCAGAAACATCTCTGATATAGCTAATCTCTATAGAAAAGCCAGTCTTTCCCCACTTTGACCCATTCCCTATCTTACCAACTGACAAGTTTTCCTAATCCACCTCCTTAATCACAATACTCAAAAATGGTCAAAGGGGACATCTTGCCCATAAAAAATACAGGCCAAATTTCCTGATCTGCTTTCAAGGTCTTCTATAATCTGATCCCAGTTTACTTAATTAAACTAATTTCCCTGTGTTTATTGAGATAAAAACAAATTAATCTCTTCCTTCTTCCTCAAATTTCACTTTCTTTCACCTTCTGCCCTCCCTCTTGTTCATACTATGATCTAAATCCAAAAGTGACCTTCAAGTACCCATCCTCAACCCCTGAGAGTCCCTTCCCTCCAAGACCTTAACTTCTACTGGAGAGCTCCAATGAACAATCCAAAACAATAAATAATAATTAAATGGGGTGGTATAGAGATTATAGCTTACAGGAATTTAAAAAAGAATCACTAAGGGTACAGGAATGCCTTCAAGTCCAAGGCAGCACTTGAAACGGGCTGACACGTAGAATTCGAACTGGCAGAAATAAAAGCAACCTAAACTGAGGAACAACCTACAAGTCTTCCCTTCTATCCCACTTCTTCCCATTTACATCTTACTTAGTCCTCCAGCCAGTACCATCTCCTTCAAGAGACTTCCTCAGTAACTTCGCCGTCTAATCTAAGCTTTCTGCTCTGAGCTTCTAATATAATCTAAAATAACTCATTCTGGCACTTAGTCATTCAATATTATAGATCTCATCATCTCTACAACTTGACAGCAATATGTCTTTATATATAGTAAGCATTCAATATTTGCTAAGATAAACTCAATTCAACAGCCATTATTGCTTTCAGTCATTTAAAAATCCATTGATCATAACACTGTTTCTTAACTTACCGGGCATCTCCTTTGGAAAGATTAGTATTTACAGGATGAAGGATAACCTTGTTTGCATCTACATCCACCACACACTTGGTATGCAAGTCAATTTCTGTAGTAAAAAAAAGAAAAAATAGTCATGTTAAAGTAATTTATTTCAGAATAAACATTTGACAAAAATCCAACAAGTCTTTTACAAGAAACACACCCAACAAACTAGGAATAGAAGGAAACTTCCTCAACCTGACAAAGGGCATCTACAGGAAACTTCAGCTAACATTGCACTTAATGGTGAAAGACTACACAGCTTACCCCCTAACATCAGAAATAACACAAGGATGTCTACTACTGCAATTTCTATTCAATATTGTACTGGAAGTTCTGGTCAGGGCAGTTGGGCAAGAAAAACAAACTGAAGGCATCCAGATGGGAAAGAAGTAAAAGTGTCTCTATTTGCAGATGATATGATCTTGTGTACAGCAAATCCTAAGGATTCCACTAAAAGACTACTGGAATAAGTAAGTTCTGCAACATGGTAGAATACAATATACAAAAATCAATAGTTTCTATATACAAGCAATGAAAAATCCAAAAATAAAGTTAAGAAAACAATTTCATTTATAACAGCATCAAAAAGATTTAAATTCTAAATGAAAAATTTAAAAGAAGTACAAGAAATGCATACTGAAAATTCTAAAACATTGTTCAAACAACTGGAAAGACATGTATATTCATGAATTGACAGACTTAATACTATTAAGATGATAATAATTCCCAAATTGGTCTAGAAGAGTCAATGTAATCCCTACCAAAATCACAGTTGGCTTCCTCCTACCAAAAAAAAAAAAAAAAATTGACAAGCTGATCCTAACATCTATATTAAAATGCATGAGATCCAGAACAGCCAAAACAATCTTGAAAAACAAAAACAAAGTAGAAAGGCTTTATTCACCAATTTCAAACTTACTATAAAAACTACAGTAATCAAGACACTGTGGTACTAATATAAGGATAGAAGGACAGACAGATCGATGGAACAGAGACTCCAGAAATATACTGTCACATTTATGGCCAAATGATTTTGACAATGGTGTCAAGACAATCCAATGGGGGAAGTATAGTCTTTTCAACAAATGGTGCTGGTACAATTGGATATCCATGTGCAAAAGACTGAAGTCAGACCCCTTCCTAATACCATACACAAAAATTAACTCCAATAGATCATAGACATAAATGTGTAAGAGCTAAAACTATAAAACTCTTTGAAGAAAGCATAAGGGTAAAGCCACATGACTTGCAGTTAGGTAATGGATCTTAGACACCAAATGCACAAGCAACAAAAGAAAGAACAGATAAACTAGACCACATCAAAATGAAAACTTTTGTGCTTCTTGATGTGCATCAAGAGAGTAAAAAGACAACCCTCCTACGCACAAAGAAGAAGAAAAAAAAAAAAGACAACCTACAGAATCAAGAAACTATCTGTAAATCATATATCTAATAAGGGACTTGCATTGGAAAATAGAATTTCTACAACTCAGTAATAAAAAAATAATAATCTAATATTTAAATGGGCAAAGGACTGAATAGATATTTCTTCAAAAAAGATACAAAAATGGCCAATAAGCACAAGAAAAAAATCCTCAACACCATTAGACACTGGGGAAATGCAAATCAAAACCACAATGAGCTAGCACTTCACACCACTAACATAACTATCATCAAAAAGACAGATAGTAACAAGTATTGGCAAAGATGTGGAGAAATTGGAACCTTCATATATTACTGGTAGGAATGTAAAATGGTGCAACTACTTTGGAAAATCTAGCAGTTTCTCAAAAGTTAAACGTAGAGTTAGCATGTGACCCACTCCAAGCAATTCCCACTCCAAGATACATATATAAGAGAAATGACCACCTCTGCCCACATAGAAGTTTGTATGTGAATGTTCACAACAGTATTATATATCTATTCACAATAGCCAAAAAATGGAAAAACTCCAACTGTCCATCAACTAATGAATGGATAAAACTAGACAGCCATAAAGTAGAACATTATCTGGCAATTAAAAGAAATAAGTACTGATACATACTACAACATGGATGAAGCCTGTGCCAAGTGAAAGAAGACAGACATGAGACCATATATTGTACAATTTTACTTATTTCAAATGTCCAGAATAGGCAAACAGAGACAGAAAATAGACTAGCTATCACCAAGGGCTTGGGAGTGACTGCTAGCAGACATGGCTTTCTGTTGGGGGTGATGACCATGTACTGAAATTCATTATGCTGACATTTGCACAACTGGAATGAGCAAAATAAAAATCACTGAACTGGTTGATTGTATAATATGTAAATTATACCTCAATAAAGCTTTTTTAAAAAAATATATAGGCCATGTTTATGTTCTCACATTGTTATAGTCTTATATTTTTCTGACCCAAAGTAGGAAACTGCTTCTGTTTCCCTTATCTCCACTACCCAAAAACATTATCTGAGAAAGGCGCTGCACTTCACTGGAGTCATTATGTACTTCTCGAAGAACCTAGGCCAGATGCCATACTACCATTATAACTTTGAAGTATTTCCACTGCTAGGAAATGTCATTTCTTGTTGTTGTTGTTGTTGTTTTAAACTTATATAACTGAGACAAATGCAAAGAAAAAAATTCCTTCCGTGTGCCCATCACAACTCCACTTTTGTTGTATCAGTTATTCTACATTGGTTCTCAAAGATACAAACTAGAAATACAAAAAAAGTTGGTGGGTTTTTGTTTTGTTTTTGCCAATACTGTTTTTCAGGCAAACAGAACTGAAAGGAAAGCACCAGAGCTGATTTACCTAGATGTGGAAGACTAGGCATATGTTCCACTGTGTTCAACTACCATAAAGTCTAATGCTTTAAATCCACTCTAGACTGTACCACAAATGCAGCAAGACAGTCTCAGCCATGCTGCAAAAACTTTGCAAACATGCAATTTTACATCTTCCTTTTCCTTCGGCCCAGAGCTCAACAAACTGAAGAGGCTGGCTCCTTACAGCCAAATATGTACTATAACAAATGCATTACCAACTCTCTGCAAACTGTACTGTGACTCAGAATCTACTATCTCACCATTCACCACAAGGCTGATTATTAGTTTCTTTCAAGAACTTTTGGTCTGAGCAGAGGAGCTGCATGTATAATTCTGTATACATAAGTATACATCTAGAGTGCATGCCTGAAAAAACACAAATCAACTACCACCCCCCAAGTAGTGCTTTGCCTTCATTTCAAATGATCTGAAATTGAGAAGAGATTCAAACATTTTTCTTCAATATTTGCATGCTTTTCCTCTATCCTCTTCATAGGTCTTTTCTCCTCCCCATCATGACTTCATTAGATACAACTAATAATTTGTAAGCATTAAATGGCATGAAAAAGGAACCAATCCAGGGAAAACCCTACATAATACGAAGAATTGCCTAATAATTAATACATCCAACCTAAATTTGTTTTGCCCTCAAGAATGCAATACTTGCCCTGGCTAGTGTGACTCAGTTGGTTGGAGCATCATTCCATAAACCAAAGAGTCACAAGGTTGATTTCCAGTCAGGGTATATGCCTGGGTTGCAGGTTCTGTCCCCAGTAGGGACAAGTACATTAGCAACTGATCAATGTTTCTCTCCTCTCTCTCTCCCTCCTCACCCTTCTCTCTAAAATAATACGCATGTCCTCAAGTGAGAATGAAAAAAAAGAGGGCAATACTTACAAATGTCCCTACATCTAACTTACATCAAAGGTGGGCTTTAAAATGTAAACAACTACCTTCACTTCTTTACTAGCTCAATCTTAATTACCAAACAAAATCCCCACCCAAGCTCTGTTGATTGATACATAGATATTAACAGATGACTTTTCACAAGACTGTTTAGAATATGGATGGAATGTCTAGGACACACACCCAAGCAAACAAATGAGTGAGATCTGAAGAGAGTTTAAGGCTCAGGTATATGACAAGCATTTTAATATAAAATGCTACAGCTAGTGTACCATCAAATACTACTAGCTGGTTGAATTAAATTACACGGCTACAAGATTCTAAATATGACACTCTCTCCATGAAAAACTTCTTGCTCTATACAGCTTAGAAAGCAAAGCAGTGATTAAACAGCAGTAACAAAATTAGGTCTTAAACTTAGTCTGAATTTTTTAAAAATGTTTTAAATTAAAAAAAAAAAACCTCTAAAAGATAAACATCTTTCTCTCCATTTGGATCAATACTTAGATTAAAAAGATAAGTATTAGCTGCTATTCACTGCCTTTACAAAAATAGCATTGAAGTATACCCATGTTCATAGCATCATTACTCACAGTAGCCGAAAGGTGGAAGCAACCCAACTGAAAACTGATGAATAAATGGATAAATAAAATGTGGTATGTAGATTTAACAGATTATTATTCAACCTTAAAAGGGAACAAAACTCTACCAAAGCACAGATGAACTTTGATGACATTATGCTAAGTGTAATAAATAATCACAAAAGGACAAATATTGTATGAGTCTACTTGCATGAGGTGCCTAGAGTAGTCAGATTCACAGAGATAGAAAGCTGGATAGTAGTTGCCAGGGGCCAGTCTGAAGGGGCAATGGGGAGTTAATGATTCATGGGTACAGTTTTCAGTTTTGCAAGATAAAAATGTTCTAGAGATGAAAAGTAGTGAAGGCTGCACAACAATGTGAGTGTACTTAATGCCATTGAACTGTACACTTAAAAATGGTTTAAGATGCTAAATTTCATGCTATGTATACTTTACCACAATAAAAAAAATAGCACCAAATACTCATCATTATTATAATAAGTAACACACGGACAACAGTTCATTCCTAATGGAGCCTAAAATAATGAGATTGGGATTTAATTAGCACTATGACTGGAAACCAATAAAAAACCAGAGTGATCTTAAAGTTAAGTAGTACTTTAAGTTTATGTCATGACTAATCATGTTTTATTTATAGTACTCAGAACCATGAATGCTTTGAGGTATCCACAAGTCCTTAAAACAAAGAAAAAGAAAAATTTACTTCATTAACATTAAAGATCCCATATTATTTCCCAAATAGAATCCC